AAAAAAAAAAAAAAAAAAAAAAAATCATCCAAAACCCCAATTTTTATAGCAAATAATTCCTTGTTGAAAAAAAATGAGAATTTTCTTTAATTGACACAAAATTCTACAATAGAAATTCCATTTTTTGACTTCTTTGTTCGTCGGAAACACAAGCGCTTTTCAGGTTTTGGATAATTTTATATACTATTTGTTATTTGTTTAAATTTATTAGAGAATTTAATATAATAGTTGTTATTCATTTAAATAGTAAATTAAATTATAATTTTAGTCTTGTATGTTTCACTACACTAACTTTTTCGTCCTATTTGAATTGTTTTTTTTTTTCATCAATTATTTATTTAAAATTGTATTTTTATACACTAAATTCATCCGGACGTTTACATTTTTTTCGGCTTATATATTATTTGGATGAATTCATACGCATTGATATTTTTATTTTTATTTTCAGCCCATTGAAGTATTTCGTGTACGCAAAGCATTGGACGGGAGTTTACACTAGCAATTATCGTGGGCCCAACACACGAGCAATAATTTGATTTGGGCCAAAGAATGTGAAAAGTGGCCCAACATTGATCTCAATCCCATGAAACTCACGCCACTTGCCAATTAAAATTGGATGAGGAGGATTAATTTGTTTTGGCATTTTTATATTTAATTTATAATAGATTTGTAACATTGTTCCCCGTGCATCACACGGACCATGTACTAGTTGGTTAATTATAAGCTGAATAAACTTTTCTAATGTCCCTTATATATTATGAACTAAAAAAAATTATAATACATGAGGGGTAAGTTGCACAAATGACGAGTTAATAGGACTCTTGTAACACATGCCTATTCTACTTTATTAATTAGTACTCACTCCTTTTCAAAATAAGTGTCGTTTTGACTTTTTTTATTTATCCATTTTGCTATGTATCTAGACATATTTTGCTAGGTATCTAGACATAAATATGCCTAGATACATAGTAAAATGGATGAATCAGAAAAGTCAAAACGACACTTATTTTAAAAACGAGGTAGTATGTTATTACTACAAAGTCCAGTTGTTGAATCATTGTATCCTATGGGTAATGCCTATAAAAGCAAGACGACAACAATACTGAATTGTACCAGGTCATGAAGAATTCATTGGTCATTTTCTCTATTTTGTGCCTCATGGCCTACGTTACAGAATGTCACAGTAGAAGAGAAAACAATAATCCTCTTCGTGAATTTCTGAAGAATAGGAATTTAAGAAAGCAATCCAACTTCCCTCTCCATACAGGAGACTACTCAAATGATTCTAATTCGTTGTCGGTTTATGTAGAATCACAGAAGGGTAGGAAAGAAGCCGACAAAATCACAGCATTGCTTGGACAACCGAGCGTAAGATTTTTTCAATATTCAGGTTACGTTACCGTTGACCTTATAGCCGGACGAGCATTGTTCTATTATTTTGCCGAAGCCGAGAACCCAACCAACAAACCTCTAGTCTTGTGGCTTAATGGAGGTAAGATTTATGATGATCATCCTAATTAAGATATTTTTGCTCTGAATGTGGTTTTGTTTATATATTATCTTAAGAAGTGTGACATTTAAGTATGAAAGTATATACTCGGCGCTGTAGGGCCCGGGTGCTCGTCAATGGGGTATGGAGCAATGTCGGAGCTCGGACCATTTCGGGTAAACCCGGATGGAGAAACATTATGGCATAACAAGAATTCATGGAATAGCGGTAATTAATTTGGTCAAGTATGCATAAAACATACAAATTAATTTCGGGGTTTAAATAACTTGTTCTTTGTGTACAGTGGCAAATGTCCTGTTCTTGGAATCCCCAGCCGGTGTTGGATTTTCATACTCAAACAGATCATCCGATTATGTAACGGGCGACAATAGGACAGCTGCGGATTCTTACACATTCTTAGTAAACTGGCTCCAGAGGTTTCCAGAATATAAAACCCGAGACTTCTACATAACGGGTGAAAGTTATGCCGGTCATTATGTGCCTCAGCTTGCCGACCTAATCCTCAGTAATAATAAAATTTCGAAGAACGCCTTTATTAACCTTAAAGGAATTGCCGTGAGTTTCATTTACTGTGCACTAATAATGCCTTTGTTAATTTGGTAAGCACTTGGGTCTTTGTTAATATTTTGTTTCGTTTGTTGTTAGATCGGGAATGCATATATCGACTATGTAGATACGCACATCGGAAGATTCGATTTCTACCATAGTCATGCAATTATATCAGATGAAACTTACCAAGGCTTAAAAAAGAACTGCGATTACTCTTCAGATAAACCTGAATCAAGTCTTTGTAAATTCTATACTCAACAACTGCAAAAGGAGCGTGGCAACATCCACCCTTACAACATTTATGCACCATTATGCGGCTCGTCCCGACAATTTTCTTCAGTAGTATTTCATCTTTTGAACAACTATTGAGTCGTACTTTATTTTTTTCTTTTGCAATTCATCTAATTATTCTCAATTTGTCATGTTCTCTTTGACGCAGATATCGAATTTCGATCCATGCACCGATGATTACGTCGCCAAATATTTAAATAATCCCTATGTGCAGAAGGCTCTTCACGCTAACACGACTCATATACATCGGCCGTGGATGGGTTGCAAGTCTGAAACTAAAGATTAATTTATTCATTATGATTCTTTCTTTATTGTTTTCTTAACTGTTTTTCATAAAATCTATAATCATTATTGCAACGATTTTCTTTACAGCGACAACATTAGCGATGATTGGACTGATAGCCCCGACTCAGTGTTAAAACTCATCAAGAGCTTGATGACTAGCGGCATTAGAGTTTGGATCTACAGGTGACCATAATGCAAGCTATATAGTATAATGCCACAAAATTGCTTGCTAAGATTTCAATATAATGGGCTTAATTTCATTATGCTCTATCAAAATGTGACCCTTTTTTCTTAATACAGTTTCTTTTTTTTTTTTTGGTACCGTTTTCCAGTGGAGATACAGATGCGGTTATTTCAGTGACAGCAACAATATACTCTATGGTTAAAATTGGGTCACCCGTTGAAACTCGATGGTATCCATGGTACATCAATGAGCAAGAGGTAAGAAAACACGTTTCGAATCTATAACAAATTAATTTACGCGCTAAAACCAATCGACTAAAAAAAAAAGTTGGGGGGCGTAAATGTATTTTGTTGCAGGTGGGAGGATATGCAGTTGGATACAAAAATGTGACGTTTGTAACCGTAAGAGGGTCGGGACATGAAGTGCCGAGTTACCAGCCCGGACGCGCACTTGTTTT